ACCTCGACTTCCGAAGACGGGCCAGCTGCAGACTGTTATCTGTTTTTGGCCACTTATAGTCTACGGACTCTTCCGGCAACTATAAAACCGGGTAGTGTGGGCAGCCTATTTTAGCTGCCTGCGCAAAGGATTGAGAACTCGGCGTTTTTCCTAAGAGCTCTCTCCCCGGTGCCCACATTAAGCGAACTCAATTAGCTTGCTTGGTATGTGGACGCGTTTCGAACGGAGGGACTCCCTTTTATATGGCTTCTTCCGGTGTCGAATCGGGTCACTCTGGCATGTTCCTGTCACCGTTGACAAACTGGCCACCTTTTTTGTGGTTTTTGTTTGTCGTTTGCCCCTGCCCGTTTTGCCGCCTTTGCGGCCTGAGGCAGGCGAGCGTCGGTTGCGCGCGTCCCCTCGTTTGGAGGCGGCGGCGCCCTTTCTTCCCTTTGGGGAGGTCTATGGCCGGCTCTGGGCGTGTTGGCTGCTGGCGCAAAACGACTTCGCAGGTCTGCTCCGAGGTCGTGCACCCCCCCTTCACCAGCCCACTGCGGCCGAGATGGCGCCGAACCCCCTGGGCAGCGTGTCTGGGACTTCCCCAGCTGGTCTCCGCCGGTGGGCGGCGGTCGTTGGTCTTTTGGTGCTGCCGCCTTCACGACCGCCTGACTGCCCCCCACTGCAGGCCAGCTTGTACCGCGACACCTGGGTCCAGCGGCGTCAAAATGGTGCCTGTGATGCTCTGCGGTGCTGTGGCGACGACTGTCAAGTGCTCGGAACTTGAACTTTCCAGGTCTTCGGTCCTGCGGGCCAGATCTTGACGGCGGACACTGTGAAGACGCGCGCTGGGTGTCGCGTGTATTCGTTGGGGATGCGCAGAGAGATATATTATTTTATGAGAGCAGGTGGGCCTCCTTTATTATTTCTTGAGACCCACCTACCGTTTTAAGGAGGGGGGGATGTGGGGATTCCTCTGGTCTCCCTTCCCCGATGGCTGTGATAACGGCCGCGGGTCGGAACGCTCGGCCTTCTTCGCCGTGAGCTCCGACCTGTTCGTGGGGCGGAGGGCCGCCTGGCTTGGGGGGCTCTCCTCTCACTCTCTCCCGGGGGGACCTCTTCCGTCCCCCCGCTCGGTTGCGGATCACTGCTGACAGGCGAGGAGGTTTCGCCTCTTGTTTTCCCGCTTTCGGGAAAGGGACTCGTCCGGGTGACCGCGAAAGAGATAGGACGTGTGTCAGCGACTTCTCCGATGCTTCCCCGGTCTTGGCTCTCCGGAACCCCGCGTCTGGCCAGGTAAGGACCTTTTCTTGCCTTGCCGGCGCGGGGGGCATTTTGGATGGGGACATTGCAGTTCATTTTAAGAGTGTTCCAATAAATGCTCTTGGACTCTGTCCTTACTCTGGTACGTGTGTCTTCTCTTCCGCTATATTCGAGAGAGTGAGACAAGGTAGACGATCATTGGCACCGACGGAGGTAATTAATCGAACCGACCCGCGGTAATCTAGCCCTAAACGTTCGTCTATATTGCCGCGGAGATGTGGGGACCGCGCTACTAGGTTTGACGTCTCCTTTGAGGTATCGCCGCTGTTGAGACAATCCTTTGGTTACTCTATCGGTACCTGTGTTGGTAGCAAGATCTCACAAGAGTGAATGCAGCAAAGTGTCGTTTCGCGAAACCAGAGGTTGAGTTTGTGGGGCATGTTGTAGGCTCCGGAAAACTCAGCGAAGACCCAGCGAAGGTCAAGGCAATTGAGGAAATACCTGCACCGCAGACAAAAAGGGAGCTCAGGAGTTTCTCGGGGTTAGCCAATTACTACCGGCAGTACGTTCCGGAGTACGCCCGCATAGTGCTGCCTCTCACTAATCTGACCAATAGGCAAACATCACAACAGCTGCCTTGGGATACCGAGGCGCAGAACGTATTTGAAACATAAAGGACTGCCTCAGGCGCGCGGCATCGCTTTACGCACCAGACCCCAATCGCGAGTACATCCTTGCCACCAATGCCTCCGATTATGCAGTCGGAGCGTGTCTTGCGCAGCGCAATGACCAGGGCAAGGAGTGTCCGGTTGCATTCTTAAGTAAGAAACTCAGTCCGACCCAGGCTCGCTGGGCCACGATAGAAAAGGAGGCCTACGCAATCATCTGGGCATTGGATAAATTGGAGGTCTGGCTTTTTGGCGCACAGGTCCGCGTGGTGACTGACCACAATCCACTAAAGTATCTGACTCTGAGCAGTCCGCACAGCGCGAAGCTGACTCGATGGGCTCTAGCGCTACAGAGATTCAATCTGACCATTGAGCACAAAAGGGGAGTCGAAAACGCGAACGCCGATGCACTGTCGAGGCTGGTGGGTGCCAATGAAGAAACGCAGTAGGGGCCCGAGGGCACAGGCGGAGCGGGCAATTCGCAGTACTCAAGGCTCTGTCATGACTTGTGTTCGCGGGAGCGGGGGTACAGTCTACACCCGGACGCGAAGATGTTGAGCTCCTCGTGGTGATGTGATGCATCCCAATGTGGTGTGCATCACAGTCAGAAGGGAGGTGTCGGGCTCAACTGCGCATGTACAGAGCTCCGGGCACGGATGGAGTGCATGGTTGAAGGAGACAAGGCCATCACGCTGTGCTCAAGCCGTCTGCTCAAGATGCAGCACCCGGCGGCGGAACACCTGGGATCGACGCAACACCGAGCAACGGCGAAAACCTCAAGGACTGACGGCGATGACCTCAACCGCACACACGCCGGGGAATGCGGGTGTAGTCTTTGGAGGTGCTACGTGCGCGGCATCACGTTGCGCCCTTGGCCTACCATACGGGATGCGGTCGACGACACACCCCGTCGTTTCCTCGACCTTGGACTACGGTCGGGACGGCCAAGCTCCGGTCCGCGAGCGCCTCATCCGAACAGCGGTGTGGCACGTTCCGGCGACACCGGATACTCTAGCTGCATGCGGGCTACGCGGCCTACGTGACTGACGTCTCGTTCTCGCCCTTGGCTGAACGTTATAAAAGCAGGGGACTCTTTTGTCAGGGGGACAGACCCCGAGCGGGACTCAACATGCTTCTTGCTGTAAATATGTAATAAACTACCATATTAGTCCTAAAGGAGTTGCTTCAAGGTGCCGGCAGATTGGAACCGCAGCCCGTCGAGGGGCAACTAACCCGATCGACGAACGTCGGGCGCCTTCACGGACAAAGGTGAAGAGGCGGTTGCAGAAGTCAGGGAGTTGTAAACGGCTTTCACTTTTTTTTTTTTCCCTTACTTTACTTGCGTTACATTCGTGTTTTTTTGTGTTTCTTTTTTTGCACTGTGAAAAGTTATTTTTTGCATTACAATCGTGGTCGCGTTACATTCAAGTAAATACGGTAATTTGTTCGGTGCCATATTTTGTGATATACACGTTTTTGTTTTAGTGTGTTGTATAGAGAGTGTAGATCACGAGAACTCTCTTTGCGTCGTAAGCCTTTAAGCGTGAACTAATGACCACAGTAATGTTTCTCGTATAGCAATGAAACAAATTTTAGTGCTGGACATGACTGACGAGCTAAGGCTTTGCAGAACCCCAAAATGCTTTCACAGACCCCCCCCCCCTTTTAATTATAACCTTTGCTACTCAATTACAGTCACCGACTGAATTTTTCGGACGCTGATAATTCGGGCTTGTTCTATATTTCCAACCTAAAGGAGGAACCGTGACCTACCCGATAAAAATAGCAGATATTCACGACCAATGTTTCAGACAACTTGAAGCCCTAAAGTTTGCTTTTTCTGACAAAATCGTTGCAAGCGATCAGCAGGAAACACCACTGAGAAGCTGCCATTTTAGATCTTATGTTGGCTGCACATAAATTGGCTTGGTTTGGGGTTTGGCAGCACTACTCAAGTACTTCTAAGTCCTACCACTAAGGCTGTGTTCCAATATTTACTCGTTCTTACTCCAGCAGAAGGGTTTTGTACCTTGGCGTTCGAAAACCTACCCGCATCCAGCGTTTTTCTATATATGTGTTATCACGTGACACGACGAGCTGGAGCAACTCGGATCCATTGGGGTAGGATTTAGAACACAGCCTAGGTGATGCTATGCTAAAGAGTTTTTTTCTCTACCTGCGCATCATTATCATCGTCATGGTTATCATTTTGCTTTGTTTATTTGCTGTTAGTTGTGGACTTGCGCCTCCCATCTTGTCTTGGTGAATCATGTTTTCGAATTACGCTGGCTCGGACGTCATAGCCCCAGCCATTCTTTCGCCGCCGCGAAGTGTCTCTAGGAAGCGCGAAAAGTACTCGACCATAACGCTAGAAAAGAAGGCAGCGATTTTCAAGCTAAGAAAAACTGGCCAAACGCAAACGAAAAAAAAAAAAAATTGCGGTGGCTTAGCTCGGCTATGCCAGGATATACGTAGCGTGAGCTTATGCACACAAAATGAGAGGCGCTATCAAGCAGCTCCGGTGCAGCGTCAGAGTTGGCTACTGCGCAACGGAGGCACACAGCTGGGCACGCGGCGGCGCCAGTGCGTCTGCCGCGGCTATGACGTCACTCCTCTGGAATGTGCAGACCGGCAGGGTACGAGCGGTGGCGGCTCTGGCGCGCCAGCTGTGCGCCGTGTGATGTCACTGCTCCTCGCGCTTGCGCAGCACGGAGCACGGCCCATTATGCGAGCCACGCGAAACTGTTCAACCTCAGCCAGTGTAGCTCACGCTACAAAAGTAACCTGAAGCAAGGCGCGCAGGCCTGACCCGAAGCAAGGCACTATTGACGGCTTTTTCGAGCCCGCTTAGACATAATAAAGGCAAGCTCTTTAATCCGCCAATTTTTGAGACTCCTCTATTATTTGGACATTTTTTCGGTCCCTGCGAAGTTTGAAAAATCGGTCGGTGAATTATCTTGTAGTATGACTAACAATGGCTTATGTTCATTGTGGTGCTATTTGCATGCGAGCACATCGGGTATTCCAAAGTTTGTTAGAGCCCTCCCGAGGACTCCCAGTTTTCCCATTGGCGAGCGGTGAGTAAGCACATACCTGTTCGACGAGCCTGCAGGCGATTGGAACGTAGGCGCCACTGAACACATAGCCAGGGTCCTTGGGACTCCTGAGGTCATAGTTGTCCCCAGCATCAGCCGGAATCTGCACGGGGTTCACTGTGCTTCACCAGACAGCATTACCGCAATGAATAGTCACTTTATCAAATCAAACCTTAGCAACTAAAAAAAAAAAAATAGACAGTTTAGCAAGTTGTTTGCTTCACTCACAGTAGCTGCAATGCATCTCGAGACTCGCACCGCCAATTGGGAGTGGCCGTTTTGTTGAAAAAAGTTTGGTAAACTCTTTTCAACCTCCCCTTGTTTTAATTTAGAGCTGCATTCTTGCGGAAGCTAACTTAAATTTCGCAAGCGTCGTGTGGGCGCTTGGCACGGCATGGCGTGGCGTGGAAGATCGAAGCTAAGAGAATTGGTCGCCCGCCAAACACTCGCCCTGCAAACCAGCTATGCATGTCCGCATGCATCGCATGTTGACGTGTTACGAGTTTCCCCACACGGCACTTTCTCATCAAAGTTCATGCGCTCTCGTCCCAGAAAAGCAAAGAAGAGAAAAGGCACCGAGCTAATGTTTCGAAAAGACGCGTCGGCCCGTGCCAAAAAGATTGATACTAAACTTGAGCGTTGACCGTGTTAATAATAAAATATTATTCTGAGTATGACGTTTTAATCTCACTGTGTTGCTACCCTATTTATCTGATTCTCGTGCACACATTTTTTTGAGCAAGATATACCTCAAAACCCACCTGAGCATTATAATCGGATAAAAACAAAACAAATTGGGAGTATGCTAGTATAATTATTCTCAAATAGTAGGGTGCACGTTAGAGTTGGGTAGACGTGGCACTTGCTTCTACCAAGGCAACATTACGACGGCTAGCAGACAGACTCCGCTGCCCCAGCAGCGCGCAACGAAGTGGGCTTTATCAAGTCTGGAAGACATTGAGTAACAAAAAAACCCAGATGCTGGACCTGTTTGCAGGGCGATTTGATCAGGCTAGCACATATTTCTTCTGTAGGTACCGAATTCTCCTCCCCGACATCTCTGCAGGCCTACAACTAAGAGAAAAGACACCGACCAGGTTCAGCCTCTTGGTGATGGCATTGAAGCGTGTCCCCCTGGGCAGGGCTGCCATGGCGGCTGCCACCTTGCTTGCCAGGGTGGGGGCGGGGGACCCGACTACCAGAGGGGAGGGGGCGGGGCCTCCCGGAGCCCCACCCCCCTGCTCCTGGCACAACCCCAGCCTACGCAGTCCATGAAAGGTGCACAGGTGGTGGGCCCCAAAGCTCTGCGTGTGAAGCAAGCGCTTGCAGCCAAACGTCGGCCATGGTGCACTGCCCAAAAGTGGACTGGGATCAATAAGTGACTGACAATATCCTAGAAATCAAATAAAAAAGCCATGCAATGGCTTTTTTGCTTTCAGTAAATACCGTTTTTTAGAATTAATTCTTAACATATTTGAAAGCTACAAAAGCATGCATGAAATTTCTCTCCATGGAATGGCAGTCGCAGACAAAATTTGAACAAAACTAACAGTGTCCACCACCCCTCAGCTGTATAGCTGCAGAAAAGGCAGACACATGATCTAGTACTGATTATATGCCACGAATGTTTATTGTAGCCATGTGCTATGGTTAACGTCAAGGGACTGCTTTTGTGACTGACTTATTTGAAAGAACTACTTACATGAATGAATTAATTGAAAAAACTGTTCACGTGATTGACTCGTGCAAAGCAGCTGCTCACGCGCTTGAATCGCACAACGAGACAGATCATGTGATCACCTCAGGTGAAGGACATGCTCACATGACTGATTGATTCATACAAATCAATCAATCATGCGAAAGAAGCAGGATTGACTCGTAGAAAGAAAGAGCTCGTGTGACTCACGTTGAGGAACTGCTGGGTGAGAGACCTGAGCTCTCGGGCAGGGATACCGTCTTGGGTGAGGGACAGCAGGCACAACAGCCGTAGGACGCTCAGCGCAGGGTACTGCGCACGCAACAGTCTTTGCACCCCGTCTCCCATCTACCCTTGTCCACGCACTCTCCTAGTCAAACAAACACACACCATCTGGTTTGCTTTTGTCCATTCCATCAATAGGATTTGATTACGAGAAAATGTGAACTGCTTATTTTGGATGCAGCTGATACTTGGTCTAGTCTGCTATTATGCCAAGTCACTGGTTTGAGAGTGTACCTGGCAGAAAGAGTGCACTACAGAACCTTGGGCAACAAAGCTGGATCCTGTTGGTTCTATCAAATCACAGTAAGTTAAACTGAGCTCCTCAAACATTCCCTTTTTTTCCTATTATAAGTTATCTTAGGCCCCAAAGATAATAGATGAAAAATTCTTCCCTGTCCTCTTCAGCAGTGCAGTAAAACAAATGCTCTCAAAGCGTTATTTTTCGAAAAAAATAGACAACCATGAAAGAAGTATTCTACATGTTGCTGATCCAGACTTCCGTGGTTGTCTGCAGATGCACCAGAGTGGTTGGTTTGGAGGCCCTCACCTGCCTGTGGATGCACTCCTCGATAAAGTTGGTCCCCTCCCTGACTTCCAGACCCTCCAGGAGGTCTGGAAAGATAAAAAGCTGGTGCGAGTCGAATCCCCTTCCCGGCCCGAGAACACTCCTCACTGTGCTCCGTCCTCAGCTGCCCTTCGAAGTTGGTCTGGGAGCTCTTGATGGCCTCGCACGAGCCAATGTCTGCAAGGGGCACCAAGCTACGTACGGCCGGGGCCCAGCGGGGGTCGGGAAGCCTACTCACAGAGCGCCAGGGAGTTGTGCTGCTGCTGCAGCGACTTGAGCTCGTTGGCCACAAACCGCTTCATGTCCCCGATGCTCATGCCGTGCCTCTCCTGCGGGAAAAGGCGCGGGTGTCTCGCTTTGGCAGAAACGCCGCGGCACGAGGCTACGGTAGCCGAGCAAATCGTGGTAGAATGTTGCACCGCTTAACTAACGTATTGCCCTCAGCGATTTCACCTAACAGGAATACTGGAAAGTGTCTGCGTTTCCTACACTGCCCAAGGCAGCTCCGCGTTCTGGGCGGCGGCAGCGGCTGACACTCACGTCGTATCGTGCCTGGAGATGCTGGGCCTTGTCCTTGAGGAGAGCAAAAACGCTAGAGAAGTGGCAGTCCCGGATGTCCCGGAAGACCTGCAGAAGCCGGAAGTGAGCACGGGGGGTGCGCCGCCGGGGCCGGCTGCCTGACCGACCACGTCCGAGCTGTTGACGGGGAGCCGCACATCCTGGTCCTTGCCGGTCACTGCCTTGCCGAAGGTCACCTTCCCTGTGGCACACGTGGGCGACACATTGTCGGCATGAGTGGTGTCGCTTACAGGTAAGCGGACGCAGATGCATGGCAAGCAAGTTTGTCTGCTCCTTGCGCAGTGACAGTGACAAACTCCGACGTTGCCTGCTAGTCTCGCTTCTTTGAGCCTCCAACGTGCGAAGAAATGCAGTTTAGTCAACTTGCTCGCTGTATTGCCTCTAAGCGTGACATCAAAAGGGAATGGCTGGAGACGGCACCGCCAAAGTATGCTAGCATCGCATTTGAACTGCTGTGCCTCTATGAGTGGGCCTTATTTTTGACAAGGCCCACGAGCAGAAGGATTTCCAAGATCGACGAGACTGTTGACCGCTGAAGGGTGTGGGGACAAGGAATGACAACAGATGTCACCAGCACGCTTGCTCCTTGAGAAGAAGTGGAGGGTATTGGCTCTGGGATTGGCATCAAGGGTAGTTGCAAGCTCGTATGTCACCAATCCTTCCGTAACTGATGGCCAGCCCCCTTCTCACAGTATCGGTACAGGAAACAAAATGGACTGTCTGCTTTTGAATTTTAAGGGCAGGGGCAGGGGCATGTACTGACAGAGTACACACCTCTGCCACTGTCGGGTGAATGGCACAAACTGAAGCCCGACACAGTGGTGCATACTTGGGCAAAAGCTTACACCCTCTAGCAAAAAATGGCAGCAGAAGCGAAACGCATGAGGGGCACATGCCTCCACTACTGTCGGCTAGGTGGTGCAAGCTGCAGCCTGATACAGTGAACGCTTGTGCATTGGAAAAAGGCATGCAGGGTATGCCTTCACCAAAGTTAGCTGGGTGTTGTAAGTTATAGCCCAATACACCGGTGAACACTTCTGCAGTAGCAAAAGACATGCAGGGCACATGCTTCCACCACTGTTAAATGGATGGTACAAGCAGCACGCTGATACTGTGGTGAACACTTGTGCAGCGGCAAAAAGCATGCAGGGTGCATGTTTTCACCACCATTTGCTGGGTGGTACAAGCTACAGCTTGATACAGTGGTAAACTCTTGTGCAATGGAAAAGGCATGTACGGGGAGCTTGGCAAACTGGTGCCAAGCTCCCCGTATGGTCGCCATTTTGGCTCATGAAATGAGCTGCTGAATGAGCAATTTTTTCTTGACCTTTCCATTCTTAGCGAGCTAATCTAAATTCGTTGGTGACACGTAGCTTTCTAGAGAGGTTTCTTGTATACCGAGATTTCGCTATTCACACACCGGCGAAAGAAGCGTAAATCTTTGTACCACCACCACATGTGGTGTCGGTGCTTGGAGGCACTGAAAAATAATTTTTCTATTGTGAAATATGCAAGAAGGACAATATAATTGTAAGAGATCTGTGGAGATGGGCATGATTGATAAGTTGATTGCATACACAGTGCCAAAGACACCAAAGACACTCATATTGGCAAGGAACGCCTTTGGTATAATTACACTCCACGGTGATATGGCGCGGCTGGATTAGAACAACCCTCTCGAAGCTTCGAAAATTTGAAGGGGCTGAAATGGCGATTGCCATGGCGACGGAGACCGATTAGCCAAATGCCTTGCAAGGTTTTGGTCGTCTGTATGTTAATATTTGTTTGTGCTCAGCTAGCAGGTAGGGAAGGCAATGGCACCACCTTCCTAGGATCCAGTGACTTCAGCTGGGTGGTGCAAGCTGCAGTGCAACATACAGTGGTACATGCAATCAGATGGGTGTGTCGATTTGCACATGCTCTGCCAGTTTTCTAGTTTTTACTGCTTTGAAATTTTTATATTTTCTCATTTACAGACAATGGTTCGACATATGAAAAGCTAAATAAAAGATTTTGGAAACATGCCTCAATCAGTTCTTCCTTTCACATATATTTATCACTATGCGGTAAAATAAAGTGAACTTAATCCCGCTGGAGGCATGGTCAATACATAGTACAGTACTAAAAATTCAAATTCTTAATTTCTCCATATTTTGGAGAAAGGAGGCGATAAAAAAGGCAACTAAGATGTTGCTTCACACGATCCTGCTCTTCTAGCCTACCCAGTTGCCAGCCGATTATCTTCTAACTGCGAGAGTAGAAGCTGGAGAAAGTAGTCCCATTTAGTATGACACTTATTCGAGGGGTGGGCCATGTTTCGCTACTTTACATCCTGCATCATATATTTAGCTACAAAAATGAGATAGGCATTCTTTCTATGATCGGCATTCGTTTGAGATATTATCGTACAAGGTTTTGACATTCATTGAGGAACAAAGTGGGAGACAGCTGAGTTTGGAAACAGTCTGTTACTTTCACTTTTGAATCTTTCATTTCCCTTACCTGTCTGAAGCCATTTTATGACACAGATAGTGTGTGTTTTACTAGTTATTTTGATGAACTTTTGGTTGTTCTAACCCTTCCCCCTATAATAACACCTAATGGCAACATAAGTTGGTCTAAATCAAGGGTCTTCAACACGTGGCCCGCAACTGGGCATAGGAACAAATGGTCCCGGTACAAATGGTCCCGGAACCAACGGTCCCAGAACAAATGGTCCTGGAACGAATGGTCCTGAAACAAATGGTCCCAGAACTAATGGTCTTAAAGGGGCGATGCAACGATTTTTGTATTTTGCGCAAGTACCGATTAGAACGGATCCCTAACGTTAATGACCTGTGAAATACCCGTTCGTTTTTCACCACATGCGATTGAAGTCGCAGATAAAAATAAAGAAAAACGAGCAGAGTTCACCCCCTCAATTCGCAGCCAAAACAAGCGCCACGTGATGTGGAGCCGATTATATGCCGCCAATGTTGATCATAGCCATGCACTGGGGTTGGCAAGACACAGGACACGCGCTGAGTTCCAGACATTGTTATGGTTCGGCTGTTGTCGTCATTGCAGCAATTGGACAGGGGACACTACCCGAATGCTTCTCGAGCTATCGATTATCACGAGCCCAAATCGAGTGTCCACGCAGTGGTCGGGTCCAATCTATGAGCCGCATTCAAATATCGTCACTGGGCGGTACTGCTACTGCCCAGCTACGTCATCAGGTTTAGCGAAGGAGAGATTGAATGAAAACACTCAGTTTTGTCCTCAAAATTACAGCGAAACAAAGGAGTTTCTTGGCCAGCGGCGTTGCGTGCGAGTATCCTTGAGTCCCACTAGTGCCAGTAAGCTCGTGTAAAGTGAAAAACGTTCCAATTGAATATCGTTGCACCGCCCCTTTAAGTCCAAGGTAGGAGAAAATGGTCCCGTAAGATTGTTTTGAAACTAAGATATACCATGCAATATACTTCATCCATTATGCAATCAGTAATTTCCTGGTGAAATGAAGGATTTCATCTATATTTTGAGGCCAATTACTCGAAGAAATCGGTCGGGTATCGAACTTAATTTTATTCAATATCGTCAGAATATTTTTGAAATGAATACTGTCAAACAGTTATCTCCTAACTGTTAATTTAGTGACCCTATACAATATTTTAGGAGTTCTTACTATTTCAGTGATGTGATTGGCCTAAGCCATTTTGGAGCACCTTTCGGAGCTCCAAAACAATGTTTTGGAGCAGCAAAAGTGGCTTTTGGAGCAACCAAAACAGTGTTTGGGAGCAGCAAAACTGGCTTTTGGAGCAGATATTCTTAGAAAAATAAAAATATTTGTTTTAGGTGCTGGACAAACGAAGGGCACTTTGCAACCGAAATAAACGAATTATGGTCAAGTTCGACCACCTAGGAGTCTTTCAAGGTGAAACTGAAATCTCAATGACCTGACACATTTTGCAATTCTTCAGTTAAATTATACATATATATCTACCCACTATAGACAAATAAGAACCAAACTTTACATATTGAAATTTATTTGAAAATGACCAGCTTAGTAGTAAATATCACAGCGTTAGGTTGACTAGTGATGTAATATAATAAATGGAAGCAGTCTCAGACTGATGAAACGCATAGCTACAGCAGTGCAATGCGAAAATTCACACAAGAAAAAGGTGCATTATAATTTATAACTACCGGGTACTTTTTGCTTTTCGAAACTTTCTGCAAAGCTGCTGCAAGCTTTGCTTTGGCCTAGGCTAGTAATGAATGTCCACTTTGATTGTCTCCAAAGAGACATTGAGACATCCCATAAGTGTACAGTGCTGTACGCGTGCCGAGCAATTCTGAAAAACCGCTTGCCACCGTTTTACTGATTCCCAACGTGCCAGATTTTCGTCAAAAGTAAGCGTAAAACAGTGGATTGCAAGCGTCCCGGCTGGTGCCTTTGTCGTGCAATCATGCTTGCATGCACGTCAGGGCAACTTCGGCAGGCTTGCAGCTGCACGTGTTTCGTCGCGCAAGCGGAGACGGCTGTTCGATCGAAACCATGCCTCTTCGCTCTGTCGCCAAATGGTTTCCAAAAACGTATGCAAAATGTAACTGCCCAGCATGCGACAATAAACAGTCCAGCGGCGCGTGCTTGCAAGGCCGGAGGTAAGGTACAAGCTAAACATACGGAAAAAAAGAACCTGAGCGCATCGATGCAGGACATCGCAAGCCAGGGTCAAAAAGTTCTTGGAGCGCTTTGTGCAACGACTGAACTCGAGACAAACAAGCGCGCTGTGCGGGTTCAGCGTGCAGACATTGCCTTTTTGCTTTGGTTCAATTCTCTTCATCAACTTTCTTTCGCGACAGATTTTTCATGTACCGGGGTCCCTCTCAAAAGAAAGCCAACCGAGAGAAACCTAGGTAACAAATACTTCCACAGAGCAGTCGTCGTGTTAAAAAGGGATTTTTGTAGTAGCGTATGATTTAAACAAGAACAGGAATGTTGATGAATATGCGGACTGGCCGGCAGGGACCAAATAGCTTCCCACGGCCGTTGCTTTCAGAAGCGAGTGCTTCATCTCAAGACGTAACTCCCGCCGCGCAAAAACGTAATTTCATTTCACAGCGCGACGGCACACGCCTGCATCTATCGTTGAAAAATTAAAAGTGCGAGACGAGATTCCCGAAACGACGAGAGCTCGA